ACCTGACTGTCCAGAGAGGACAGGCTCAGTGTCCACAGCCTGGCCATAGAAACTGGACACAGACAAACCTGACTGTCCAGAGAGGACAGGCTCGGTGACCACAGACAGACCTGAAAGAGAAAGGAAGACTGGGCTCAGGCCCGAGCTTATGCGATAACGCCTCTCTGGCCACGTGGTTATCGCGCAAGAGCAAGAGGAGCTCGCAGCGACGGGAGTCAGGACTCCCTCATCGATGAAGCCACGGAACAGTCTCTTGGCCCATCCGTGCAGCTCCCACACACCCCCCGAGCACGTCGGCGCACGTGTGAAAAGAACAAGCGGTGCCAAAATCTTGATTTCGCAACAGCGCCTGTCCAAGCAGTCGTCTCCAGGCGCTGAACGACGCACGCCGGGTCGCGAGCCGCGAGGCTGAAACTGCGGAGCCCAGGAACACACGGCACGCGCCGGGGCGGAGCCGCTGACAATAAAAGCGTCTGTAAAACTCTGTCAAGCGAGTCCGACTCCCTGGTTATCTTCAGGGCGGAGCGCTGGAGCTCTGGGGGTACAGCGACACGGAGACGCACAGTGGGGGCCGACACACAGTAAGCCTAAATCAGCTGAGCCCGGGACACATGAAGGGAATTAAAAAAATATTGGCTAGATTCACAAAAGACTATGATGAGGGTTTTTAAGCATTGGGCCAGTGAAGTAAAATCTGTCATTTCTGCTCTGTACTAATCAAATGTATATTTCAGATTGAGAGATGAATAAAAAGGTAAAAGCACGCAATTTCAGCATTTGCTTCTGGTTATTTTGTGGTGTACATGTGTAGCCATGTTAGACCCATGTCATTTGCTGTGTCCAGTCCCCCCACTTCAGGTAGCATAAGTACAGGGAGAAATGTCTGGCAGGTGTTCCTAATTGCTCAGATTTTCAATGTTGCAATTAATTGTGAAAACACAAAACACAGCAGCTGTGGATGTACGGCCTCGGTTCCAGGCTTTGGTGTTTACTTTCTGGGTCTGACTCTTGAGTTAGAAGGCGAAACACAAGATCAAGGCTAGTTGTCTGTGATGGAAAAGCTAGCAATTTTGAAGATGAGAGCAAGCAAACAGTAAACAGTATTGTATATACAGCAATGCAAAAGTAAATAGTATTCTAATTAACTGTGTGTATTTCCACTGTTTAGAAAGCCTAAACGGGGAGATAGACAGGCATGTACACACACAAACACACACACTTGCACAGATAAACACATACACACACAGACTCATAGTCATACACATACATACAAACAGATAAATAGGTAAACACAGACACATGTACACACATACATACACACACAGACATACATACACACACAGACACACGTACACACACACACAGACACATCACACACCGACACACGTACACACATACATACATACACGCACAGACACATTAAACACACACAGACACATGCACACAGACGCACGTATACACACATACAGATAGGAACAGACTCACACACAAATCGACACACACACATGTACAGGCACACACACACAGACATGCAGGAACACACAGACGCACAAACAGATGATGCTGCAGCCAGTTACATTCCTAA